ATGTATGGGAACATATGGGTATGTGTTTGGTTGTGTTAAAAAGGTGCACAAGAGTTTGGGTTTGTGTTTGTTTGGGTAGAGAATACTTCATAGGACTAGAGTAGATTGAGAGTGTCTTATGAGTATTGATTATTGAGTGGGGTTGATGATATGATGTATGTTTGTAATTCTCTACAACTAGTGGATCTTGTTTCTCATCCGTGGATGTAGGTCAGTTGGACCGAACCACGTTAAATTGTTGTCTCTTGTGTGTTTGATTTATTGCTTGATTTTGCTTCCGCTGGTGTGATTGGATTTGGAAGCTTTTAGCCTAACAAATGGTATCAGAGCTGTGGTGTTCCTCAACAAATGGTATCAGAGCTGTGGTATTCCTCAATAAATGGTATCAGAGCTGTGGTATTCCTCAACAAATGGTATCAGAGCTGTGGTGATCCCCAACAAATGGTATCAGAACTGTGGTGTTCCCCAACAAGTGGTATCAGAGCTGAAGGTTTGAAATATGAGAAGAGTTGAAGATTCAAGATGTGGAAAGAGCCGAAGGTTCGAGATGTGAAAGAGCTGAAAGTTCGAGATGTGGGAAGAGCTAAAGGTTTGGGAAGTGCATGATTTGAGACATGGAAAGAAGCAAGTTCAGAAGAGCTCGATTCAAGAGAAGAGTTCAAGTTCGAGTTTTGAAGTTTGATGATTGATTTGTATGAAGCGAGAAGACACGAGAGAAGAGAAGATGATTGTGAGACTTCCATTGCAGGTGGAGCCAAGCATGTCTAGCATGAAGACAGATGATTGATGGAATTTGAGTCAAGGTGAAGATTGTTGGGAATATTGACTCAAATCCCATAAGAGATTTGTTTGAGATTTGTTATAGATTTGTTTGGGATTTGTCAGATATTGCTTGATGGACAAGAAGACTTGCAAAAGAAGAATTTCAAGAGAAAGAGGATTCTTAATAGGTAAGTTTGACTTGCAAGAGAAGAATTCTAAAAGGAAAAGTATTCTTAATAGGCAAGTTTGACTTAGAGAAGAATTCTAAGAGGAGAGAGATTCTTAATGAGCAAGTTTGTATGGTTATAAATAGGTGAAGTCTCTACAGGGTTAGGTATGAGAAAAAGATGTAAGAGAGTTGTAGGGTTTTGTGGGATAGACACCCCATAGGAGTATTGGGACTCTACATCTTATGGGTGTGTATGTTTGTTTGTGAGTGGACTAGAGGAGATTGAGAGGGTCCACATAGGTATGATGTATGGGAACATATGGGTATGTGTTTGGTTGTGTTAAAAAGGTGCACAAGAGTTTGGTTTGTGTTTGTTTGGGTAGAGAATACTTCATAGGACTAGAGTAGATTGAGAGTGTCTTATGAGTATTGATTATTGAGTGGGGTTGATGATATGATGTATGTTTGTAATTCTCTACAACTAGTGGATCTTGTTTCTCATCCGTGGATGTAGGTCAGTTGGACCGAACCACGTTAAATTGTTGTCTCTTGTGTGTTTGATTTATTGCTTGATTTTGCTTCCGCTGGTGTGATTGGATTTGGAAGCTTTTAGCCTAACAATACACATCAAGAATTATTAGTGACATTATATTGAGATAATTTACACTAATGCATTCACTATAATTTCTTGCTTGTTTTCTAAATATTAGGAAAGATTAATTCTATTTCACACTATAATTTTACAATTAGAAATGGATCCATGCATGTTGCATATTCAATATAATGATATTATTTTTTTTAATTTTGATATATAATTTATGTTGAATTATTTGTAAGATACACGTTAAGAATTAGTAATGATATTGATCGAGATAATACATAATAATGCATTAAACATAATATAACTTGTTTCTAAAATTTTAATTTTGGTGATAATGTATAGAATAATAATGTGAAATTTAATATTTTATGTATTCTTTTAATCTTTCCCACCTTTAAACAAATCCAATTTGAGTCCTTTAGCTTCTTCTATCCAAAAATCTTAACATTGGTTCAAATCCATCTTAACAAAAGTAAATTTAATATTAATATGTACAATGGCATCTTCTCTCTACGTACTCAAGAAAAGGGAAAAAGATTTAAAAAAAAAAAATCAAGCTTCTCTCTACTCCCTTCTTATTTTCTTTAGAATCATATTATTATTTACAATAATTTAGTTAAAAAAGATATATCAAAGAAAGGATAGAGTGATGGAATAATTAATGTCATAGTGATGACTAGCTAGGGTCATTGTATTAGGATTAAAAGGATATAGAAATTTTGTGCATAGGTGACAACCGACAAGTTAATTGTTTTTTTCTTTTGTTGTTATTTATCGATAAATCATCCATCAAAAAAAAAAAATTCGTGCATAAAAATTAATAAAATCATGATTCAATAATTATTGAAGTTTTTAATTAATCATTTATCTAAGCAATAGTAGCTACAATAGTACAACAATGCATGTCTTGAACTAAAGATGCCTTATATATTGCTTTCATTACATATAACCTATACAAAATCAAGCTTTCATTCAAACAATTATGAGACATGAAGTACTGAAAATATGGACAACGATTTTTTCAAACAATACAAGTAAAACGGAAAGACTAAGAAGTGATGAATAATTGATAATGTTTCCTCCGTGATGATCTTTGATTGATAGATCGATAGGACATCCCAAAATGACAGAAATTATTTATAATATATAAGCAAATATCGACCAAAACAAAAACATTTTTTCTTTTGCTTATTCTAACATTACTTTACGGTTACATCTTACAAAAACACACAAAACCCTTTTTGTTTTGTTTGGATGACATGTAATATAAAAATAACTTGTTGAAACTTCTTTTTCTGTTATCAAGTTTTATCTAATTAATTATATAATAATATTTTTTTAGGTCAAATCGTGTTATTAATTTCTATACTGTATTAAACTTCTTAATCTATGCTTTACAATTCAGATTTAGTATTTTTTTGGTAAATTCAAAGCATTTCTCACGTTTTCATGCAAGCATATAGTGGGTATAATCTTTTGTTTTTTTTCCTCAGAAAAAAAAAAAGGAATCTAGTGAAAACATGGGGCTTTTGACTAACAATAATTATTCATGAATATAACCCTTGTGCTACTCAGTAGCAAGAAAAGAGTTAAAAAAAAAAAATTAACCTTGTGATGTTGATGTTGTTAGTACTTTTTTTAATGAAATTATAATTATAATTAAGTATTATATAATTAAATAATCAATCAATAAATTAAAATATAATTAAATAAATTCATCAAAAAATTAAAACAAATTCATACAAAATAAAACTTAAACTTACAACTTCAAATTTCTAAAGCCTCCTTGTCACCTAATCAAAGTTTCATTGCAATGATATGCTCTAGTTGGTGAGAATAGATTTATATGAATAAAAATAAAAGAATAATTTTATGAGACGTCCTAAATAAAAAATAATTTTTTATCTCATCAAATTTATTTTTCTTTTAAGATTTGAACTTCACATGTCCTAATTAGAATGTCAAGTACTTTTAACTAAATGAAAAATAATAGATGAAAAAAAATTATTTTTAATGTGGCACGTCCCATAAAATTTGAAAATAGATGTTATGAACACGTTTAAAAATTGTTGTCAAACACCCATCGATCTTCCCTAACCTTGTTTGATTACTTATTGAAAATGAAAGAAGTGGGGTTAAGCCCAAATGATCACTTTCAATCCCAGTGTTTGAAAATTTTCTTCTCTTATTCTTTAGGCATCGATCTCCCTTTGTGCCAAAAAATAAATGAAAGAAGCTGTTTAGAAAATTAAGTGGAGTTATGACAGCAAATTTTGTAAATGGATAAGCAGAGACAAGCGTATAAATGCCCCCCATGTAATGCCAATCCTGGTAGACCAGATTAGCCTAATATAAACATCAGACATAATAAAATGAGTACTGTAGCTATGGAATCTACTATTCTAAATATTCATGAACTGATTAAAGCCATATGCATCAGCCAAAACAAATCCTTTAAGAAACAGTTCACTTGCAGTTTGTTTATTGGCCTCAGGTTCCCTGATCATGTTCAAAAAGAAAAATCTGATCATTCTTAATCAAGCCGGTTGAGGTGAGAAACTGAGAATTATGGGATAGATATTTTACCATTCCTTTATTCTAAAATGAGAAACATGGTAGATGTGTAGCAGTTATAGCTTAGTTATAAATTTAAGTATGATAAAAAACAAAATGGGGCAGATAATACCGATATTAGTGACAAGAAAAGGTTAGGAAAGAACAAAAACAAAACCCACCAACTAATTTTGAATTTGTTAGCTAACCCAAATTCTGGAGGCACAAGGAAATGGGACCCAACTGTGCAAATTTTTCTGTGTGTGAGACTGAGAAAGAGAGAGACAGGACAGAGGTTGGTTTTATATGTTCATGGGATGGTCATCGATTATAAATGGACTTTAATAAGAGTGAAATATTTAACATGATATTAAAATTTTAAAAATTTTAAATGTGATGTTTTAATTATAAATTTATTAATAAATGTGATATTTAAAAATTTTATTTATTAGGTATTATTTTTTGAAATTAATCATATTAAAATTTAGAAGTAAATATCATATTAATTTAATATATTTATAATTCATATATCACATTAAAAATTTTAGTATTATTTTTAAATATTTTAATGTAATTCAAATATCATTCTCAACATTAACCCAAAGGCAAATAGTATTAAGAGAGGTTTAAGCATACAAAGAACCTGAAAGGGCCTATGATGTTTAATTCCATCCTTTTCATCGGTTCGGACAGATATATTTGGATCAAAATTTTCAGAGGAATTACAAATTAAAAATTAAGATTTTTTGTTGGAAAAATTTCGGTGAAAAAGACATGAAATCGCCCACATAGAAAGAGAGTATGGAAAAGCAGATTCCATTTCAATCTTAGGCCTCGAAGGGCTAACAAATACAACATAATTCATACTGTAATCGTATATTGAATATTTTATTTTCAACCATACAGCCACTTTTATTGTGTGTAGCTATAAATTCTTCAACTTAGTGAGACTTTCTTTTTCTCAAGTCTTCTCCTAATAATAGCATTCCAGAGAGAAAAAAAGAGAAAAAGAAAGGGAAAGGCAAGAAAAAAGAAAGAGAGAGAGAGAAAGAAATGGAGATCAATGAACAAGATTTCTTAGAGGAATTATTAGCTCTAAGAAGAGACAGTTGGGACACAATTCCAACAGAAATGAATGAGATTTTCCCTAGTGGATGGAACTTTGATTGCTTTGATGAGAACCCTTCAGCAGCTAGCTTTCTTCCAAATTCTTTGTGCCAAGAATTCTCAGTGCCTTTTGAGCAAGATTTCAATTACAACATCAATGAAGTCTACAGTCCATTTGCTGATGAATTCTCTGCACCACAAGTAACAGATTCATCAAACAACACATTTGATACATCACAATTCCCAGTTCAAGAAGATCACTCGTTGAATATGGCGGAAGAGGAAGAATCAAGCTTCCTTATAGATGAACTTCACAAGTTGAATGTCCAAGCTACTTGCAAAGCTGAGCCTATTCAATCACCTGAAGCACCAGTTTTCAACATTGGAACCAGTATAAGCCGCAAGAATCGAGCTAAGAAGTTGGAGGGGCAGCCTTCAAAGAATCTAATGGCAGAAAGAAGGAGAAGAAAACGGCTAAATGACCGCCTTTCGATGTTAAGATCAATTGTTCCCAAGATAAGCAAGGTAAATAGAAACTGAGACCTCTTATGCCAAATGCAAGTTCTTATTGGGGGCTAATCTGGTTTTGTTTTCATTGCTCTTCAACAGATGGACAGGACATCCATACTTGGAGACACTATAGATTACATGAAAGAGCTCCTGGAGAGGATCAACAGTTTGCAGCAAGAAATTAAAGCAGATTCAAATGAGTTAAACATGGCTCACATTTTCAAGGATGTAAAACCAAATGAAATCTTAGTGAGAAATACACCAAAGGTATTGGATTTTTCAGCACCATTCTCCAGTTCCTTTTTCACGTCTTATTTCAAATGCCCAATGCTGAATTAAATTCCTATGCCTGTTTCTTGCAGTTTGAGGTGGAAAGAAGAAATGTGGATACCAGGATTGAGATTTGTTGCACAGGGAAACCAGGATTGTTGTTATCAACTGTAACAACCTTGGAAACCTTAGGCCTCGAGATTCAACAATGTGTTATCAGCTGTTTCAATGATTTTGCAATGCAAGCATCTTGCTTAGAGGTAAAAAGAAAAAGAAAAAAAAATGTTAGCATTTCTGTTTCTGAATTACTTCTTCTGATGCCTATACAACTTTTAACTTGCAATCTTACATACATTCTGGTCATTATTGCAGGACATGGAACAGAGAACATTAACAAGTTCTGAAGACATAAAACAGGCATTATTTAGAAGTGCTGGCTATGGAGGAAGATGTTTGTAGGAACAAAAACTAAAGGACTGCAACAGAAGCAACTTCTGGTGAATTTTTATATGTTTCCAAATTCTCTGTTGTTTCAATGAGCTTTTCAAGTGAGGGATTGTTAGTAATTTTTTACTTTAAGTGATAATTTGCCCATAGTGCATGGTCTGTTGGTAGAACACTGCACTCTTAGTTAAAGTGATCAGGCTTCAAGTATAAAAAAAAAAAAAAAGTGAAATTCTAGTCATCAGCTTTGTAATAACTGTTTCAATTGGAGATGTTTATTAATGCAAATGGCCTCAGAAATTGGGCCTTCTAATAATAAATTTAGAATTTGTTAATCGTTTGAGAAAGAAATACTATGTTACATAATGGAAAAGGCAAGTACTTTTCCCTTTTTGTTTTTCCCCATCATCTTATATTCAGCAGGTAGGAGAAGGACAGTGAATTTATGCAGTTAAAACTACCTTTTTGGCTTTTTATCTCAGAACAAGTATCTGACAGTTCCATTTGCAAGATATCAACTCAATTCTACAGAAGTGCAAATGGAAAACATAAGCGCAAGCACAAATGTACAAGGAATCTTGTGGATTTTTAATCAAAAGATTTAAGCAGATAACTGATGCAACAAAAGGTGAAAGCATTTTTGACAAAGGAGGTCACCCACAGTAAAAAAGTTCATCTGCAGTAAATTACAAAGCTAGAACAATATCTAGCAAGTTTAGCATGCTTTCGAGCAAAAATACAACATAAACATTACAATACTATAGCTAAACTCACTATCTTTCTTACCTTCAGCTTTCCTTCAATGTGTTGATTAATACGATGCAATAACAACATATATGATCAACTTAATTGTCAGTTTCATCAAAAGGATAGTGGCATTTGCCAATGTTAACTGCCTGTAAAAACTGAAGCATCCAGATTGCACTAGTACATTCTAAAGCTCCTAGAGATTGGTCTGTTTCTTCATTCTGCTCCTGCATATCACACGAATCGGATAGCTTTGGCATCTATTTCACAAAGTTTTAGAGAACTCGAGCAAAATTTTGACAACATGAAGAATTGCCATAATGTTTTTAGGCTTCAGTTGCAGATGTCTCATGGTTCTTCATGCAAAGACAACTCTATCTAAATACAAGTTTACTTTATGATTCTTGGTTTAAAAAAATGTTCACGTTACCTGACAGAATGCTGTTGACATATGCTGATACTCAATGACACAGCAGATTTTTTTCGGATCCTACAAACAATTCTATCTGGGAATGTGAGCCAAGAGACCTGATTCTGAAAAGCAAAACCAGGCAACAGGACAAGCACAAGCTGACAAAAAATGCAGCTTTTGAAAGCTTTAACCAAGAGTACAATAACATGTTCTGATTCCTGAAAACTGAACAAATCCATAAAGACATGTTAAGAACAGATTAAGAATGCCCTTTGTCTTTTGAAGGAAGCATGAAATTTTATGTCCAAAATACGCCAAAGAAACAATTAAAGAATATGCATATATATATATATATATTTATATAAGGTTCGACTCGTAGAACATGTTACTGGTCTTTTGTACCAAACGTTAAATCAGGTTGTCTTCTCTGACCATGGGCTTATCCCATTTATGTTTTTATAGAGGTAGGGATTGGAGCTTGGATATGGCACTTAACTCGTTTTGCAATCTCTGGTCGGTGAAATCCTTTGATATGACACAAGTAGAGGACTAACTTTCTGGAAAGACAAAATTGTGAATAACCATCTCTGGATAAGATCCCAACAGCAGGAAGAAGCTGAGACATTTCCGCAGAGTTGATAGGAAGGTGCTGAGTTATTTCGCGGGCACAGACAGGAGGATCCATCTAGCAAGATTTACAGATATCTTTTGGAGGCATTTGAAATGTAGAATAGAACAAAAAGTGCCCAAAAAAAAAAAAGAGTTCAAGAACCTTTCACAATTTCAACCGTATTCCCAGATGAAAAAGAAAAAATGATAGAAAACTTTTTTATAATGATTTGTGTATTACAATGAGTTTTAAAGTCTATTTATACAAAAATAAAATATTACAAAATAAAAAATACAATAAATAGAAATAATGATTAAATTAATTCTTGTAATCAACTAAATCAATATCTAATATTCTCTAAATCAATATCAAATCAATTTAGAATATTATTGGAATAATATCATCAATCTAAAATATTATCGGAATATTACTAAAATATTATTAATATCCCCCGCATACTCAAGATCATAATATAGAGGCCAATTTTAGTTTGAAAACTTGGATAAGAAATTAATTAGGTGGATGTGATTTGGTGAAGATATTTGCTTTTTAATCGAAGAGTTTGAGTAAGCAGATGGTGACAAATGAAGTGATAGTCAATTCAATATGTTTAGTACGCTCATGAAAAATATCATTATGAGCTATCTGAATGGCACTTTAATTATCACAAAATATAAGAGTACTAGAGTGATGAGAAACACCCATATCTTGAAGTAACTGTCGTAACCATAGAAGTTTTGATGTGGCATTTGCAAGAGCTCAATATTCAGCTTTAGTGCTAGAGCAGGACATTACAGTTTGTTTTTTACTTTGTCAAGAAATAAGAGAAGAACAAAAAAAGAAACAGTAGCCTATGGTAAAACAACAATTAGTATGATCTCTATCCCAATTAGCATCACAATAACAATGCAAGTCCAAAGAAGAACTAAAGAAAAATGCAAACCATGAAACATAGTACCCTTGACATATCATAGGATCCGAAGAATCGTAGCAAAATGAGTAGAACGGATAGAAATTGACTAACCAGATGAATAACATAGGCAATGTCTGGACAAGTAACAGTTAAGTATACAAGACTACCCACCAAAGTTCAATACAAATAAAGGTCTGGAAGTGGTGTACCATTAGAAGGAGAAAGCTTCAAATTCTGTTCAAGTGGTGATGATGCAATCTTGCTATCAGTTAAACAATTCGAGTAATAAGATCAAAAGCATATTTTGTTTGAGATAAATGTAAGCCAGTAGAATCACTAGTGACTTCAAGGTTTAAAAAATAACTCAAAGGATCATGATCTTTCATTTCAAACTTACAATGAATAAAAGTATTCAATATTGAATACCATTTGCGACATTACTCGTAATGATCATATCATCTACAAAAATAAAAGAATAGTAGTACCATTTTCAATAGTTCAAGTGAAAAGGACAGAATCATGATTACTAGATGTATTGCAATAATGGTATTAAACTTTGAGAACCAAGCTCTAAGGGCTTGCTTAAGACCATATAGAGCACGTCAAAGATGACAGACCATGTTAGAAGGTATAGATGAACCAAAAGGTAGGCTTCATATAGATTTCCTCAATGAAATCACCATTGAAGAAGGCATTTTTAACATCAATTTGAAATGTTGGTCACTTTTTAGTTGCAGCAAGCTAATAGTGAATGAACAGATGTGAGACGTGCAACTTGGGGTAAAATCTCTTTATAGTCAATGCCATATTCTTGTGTAAATCTTTAAGTAACAAGATGAGCTTTGTAATGTTTCACTGACCTATCAAATCTAGTCTTGATCATGTAGACCTACTTATAATCAATTATTGACTTATCAAAAGGTCGTTCAATAATATCCCAAGCATGAGTTTTCTTAATAGCTTAAAACTCCTTGTCATTGCTTGCTATTACATAGGATTTGAGACAGTTTCACAAAAATTGTGAGGTTCATGTAATGTGGCTAAAGCATAATAATAGTGAAAATCACGAAGTTGAGTGTTGGGTTTCCTTAACTGGGTGAAATGACGAAGTAGAGGCAAAATGTATGGTAAAGTGTATCAATAGGATTTTCAGTCAAATCAAGCATAGTAAGAATGGAAGAAGATAGATTACTGTTTAAGTCAAAAGTACCTATAATAGTTTCTTCATTTAAAGAAAAATAAAAAGATGAATCTATAAAAATACATAAAGAAGAACATGGTGAATGTAATAAGGACACATTAGTCAACTTTTTATGTTCCTAAAAAACTATATGTCTTGAAATGTGAAGATATTTAGACATTGGATCATAACACCTATACCCTTTGTGTTCTATACCATAACCCAAAAAATAATACAATTTAGCTCTAGATTCAAGTTTATCCTTCGTTTGAATAAATATATCCAAGTATAACAAGAGAAATCATCAATAAATATAACAAAGTAACATAAACCTCATAAGGTTGGTGTAGGAATTGGACCCAAAATATCAAAATAAACTAAATCAAAAGGAGCAGATGAGATAGAATCACTTTTATTAAAAGGTAAAGCACTTTACTTTCTAAATTAATAAGACAACCAATAAAAAATATCATAAGAATATTACCTAAGACACCAGTGGAAGCAAATAACTTTATTCGAGAAATAGATGCATGTCATAACCTAGAATGCCATAAATCTAAAAATACTGAAGAGTTTGTTGTTTGAGATGTAGTAGTAATAAGCAAATGTTGTGAAAATTTTAAAGTTTTAGGCTTAAACAGTGTTCCAACCTTAAGCACTATTTTAACTTTTTGACAAGTTTGAGGATCCTACACAATACAGTCATATCATTGTGAAAAATGCAAATAAAAACAAGTTCACAAAGTTGACCAACAGAAAGCAAATTTAAGGCAAGATTAGGAACAAAGTAAGTGCTAGATATACATAATTTTAAGGTTTAATATTACCAATGTAATTAGCTTTTAAGACATATCCATTTGTTATTTTAACGATTAGACCATTAGGTACAAGTATCTTACTTTTGAATAAAGGAAGGATCAATAGTCATATGATTTTCACAAGCAATATCAAACAATCAAATATTACTTGATGTGGTAGCAGACATGATAGGAATATGAGATGGAGATAATCCTTGATTGAACAAAATTTAAAGATCAGTGGTTATTGTTGTTGCAGTCTTATTAGTACGAAGATCATGAATTATACTATCGTTATAATGATATTGAGCTTTACATTTTTAAATGGGATGAATAGTCCTCCCATATTGTGAACAAGACTTGTGAAAAATAGAGATAGTACTTTTCTGAGGAGCAACAACAATAGTAATATCAACATTATGAGTCTGACTTATACCCAATCGAGTTTTCTCAAATATCAATTCCATAAGAGCATTATCCATAGTTGTAAGTGATGTCGGTGCAAAAGTAAAAACCTGATATTTTCAAATTTATTTTAAAGTACCATTAGAAATTGAATAAGATAAATTTGATTTCGTTAAGTAATAGAATTACCAGCATCACTTTCATCTTTGAATTTCTATTCAGAATTTTCAAGCATGTCCCATAAAATGTTGTATTTTAGAATGAAAATCATCAATCGACTGACCTGGTTCTTGACGAATATGAGATAAAGTGGTTAAAATATAATATTGATGAGTAAAGATAATAGAGCTATAACATGTGGTAAGAAAATCTCAAGCACCTTTAGCAAATTCAAATTGTCCAAAACATACATTGATAGAAGAAACAATGGTGTTAGTGAACCATGTCAAAATTCATGATTATTACTTTCCTATTTCTCTAGCCAATCTGTAAATTTATCATTAGATTCTTATTCTTTTTCTTTCTTGTGCTTTACGTTCTTCGCCAACAACAAACTATAATTTTATTCTTTTTAGATAACTATGCATAGCCGTAGCACACCTACTATAGTTATTTCTATAAATGATAATTGAAATTAGTTGTACATTTTCTCATTGAATACTTGCCATTAAGCTCTAAAAAAAAAAAAAGATTTGAGAAGTTATG